TTCTGCTTCATACCAACCTATAAAGAGAACATTTAATATAATCAACAGAGATGCAGGCCTTATAAATAAAATTAGCGGAAATAAGTAATGGTTTCTTCTTAGATTTATTGTAATTACTTGTGTTACTTTTCTAGATGTCCTTCTTTTTAAAGAACAACAACAATAATAATAATAATAAAAATAACAATAATAATGGTAATATTTATATTTAATATTTAAACAGAGAAAACATCCCTCCAGTCACAAGGCACTGGTAATATCTGGGACTTGTAGCTTTGCTTTTAACATATTCTGGAGGATGTTCTTCATTCAGTTTGCGGAAAAATTCTATTTCCTTTGGGAACAATCGCGAAGAAGTACTGTTACTGAGTTTTGCTCTGTGTCCCTCTTATATTCGTCTTTCGTTTCATCGAAAAGTAGTGAATATTCAAACAGTTAATTAACTTTTTTCAGTAGGAATAGTTAACTGATTATCTAATCAGAGCAATGTATACATTTCCCTTTGGCTTGGGATCGGATCCACAGCGTTCAGGAGATTCACTGCATTAGTGTTGATTTGGATAGTCAGTTCTATACCTAACTTTAAGCGCACTTTTAATAAAAAATATCTGTTGATGTAAAATACATGAATTAAATAAGGTAAGGTTCATTCCAGAAGAAATAAACGCATATCTATGGTAGTGTTCATTTGTGACCTATGCAAAGGTTGCAAAGGGAGAAGCTTCTCGAGGGGGGTGAATAGGGGTAGGCAAATCCGTCGATCCGTGGTATTTTTAGGCCCGATCCGTCGATTCGACTTAATTTTTGTTCAAATCCGAATCCGTGTTACTTAAAAAATTTTTCGTGGTATATAGAAAGTAGCGTTGTAGCATGAAAAAATGAATTACTTAATATAGTTGTTCTGTAATCGCAACAGATGCGGGACTTCATGTTTAAGAAGTTTTCGTTACAGCTTCAAAACAATAATCATTAAGGACAGAGCTTATAATGTTTCTTCCAACAATACAGATTTGACTAATCAAATAGTCTGTAAGCTTACAAAATGAAAGTTTCTGGTATTGCGTAAAACATTTTTCAATAAATTTACATACTGACATCACTTTGGACATGCTTGTAGTCGAGCCGCAAAATTCGGAAGAGGCAGAACTCAACGTCATGGTAATTTGCTTACCAGTAAGTATTTTCCATGGTTCATCTTGGAATTCTTGAGACCATAATCTTTTTCACATAAACATGTTCCCACTTGGCAACAGACAGGTAAAAGGGTTGGCCACGGCAAACTGTATTTGTTTTCCGGTGCAGATGTAGAGTTTCATTTACTCGTAGTTTGTTTTGTACTCAATGATCGTCAATGATACTCGGGAGCCTCTGTTCAACTTTAAAGCGATGCCTTCTCCTAGCCACAGCTCTTTTGCAGTTACGTGCAGCCCAGCAAAAGTACTGCAACATTATATCGGTAAAACAACTAATTTGACGATTTTCAAGAAGATATTTGTCTGTAAAATGGAGCTGCCGTTAGCGGGAAAACGTAGAAGCATTTGTATGAAAACTAAAAATAGACTTCTCGCCTCTCAGCGAACCGATGCCCTTCAAACTTAATTGGTTAACTGTTTTACTACTATCTTTACTTTGTAAATCATAGAAATTTCACAATGTCAACTTTCCTCAAATTATAGAGCATCAAAATCCCGACTTTTACCATACATTTATTGTAAATTTTGCCGTGTTTGCCCTCAAAGATGGCGACAAAAACCGTGAAAAGGTCTATTAAGTTAACGATCAAGACAAGCAAACTAGCTGAAATAGCTTCGAAGAACATAATTTAGATCAGCTCATGTATAAACCTACCGAACGTGCTCGCATAGCTTCAGCACACTTCCCCACTGACTGAAATCGACGCAGCATCGAAACTTATTTTTTTGAATGAAGTCATCGCCTTGGGCACCTTCGTGGTAGAAAAAGGCTACACACTCGATAGTTATAGTTTCCATTTTGCAATTCAGACAATTTACACGAACGCATTCACAGATCTTGTCAGGTCACTTTGCAAGTACCGCCATTACCTGAACCATGTGTTACCATGCAGGAACTATGCTCAAGGTTGCCTGACGTCATTTATAATTTATACGTCACGCTGTCTATACTAGAATACATGTATATGCGTCGGGTCACGAGAAAGTCTCGGAAACCTCGGAAGTGGAACGTTGGCCGACAAAACACCAGCACATTGACCAAGGCCGACCGAAAATTGATGATCCGATCCACAATCCGAACTTCTAGACTGACAGAATCCGGAAACCGGGCCAAAACTTTCAGCTGACCCGCGATCCACGGTATTTTTCAAATCCGCGAATCCGCTCGATTTATCGCCGAAATCCACAATCCGTGAGCTTTTTAAGGCCAAATCCGCCGATCCGCGGACCTATTCACCCCCCTCCTTCTCCATTCTACTAATAAAGGCATCCTTTCAGTGGAGCTGTCGGATAAAAATGAATCGTTAGGGACAGAGTATGGATGTTATTAGGAAAGTGCAGTACTAGAAAAGATACAAACCTTCTTTCTATTGCCAGAATTCATTAAACAAGCAGCGACCTATTGTTTCCCAACCTGAAAGGAATAGTCACCAAACATATTACAACAAACACATCTTCAGGCAAGCAGCAAGAAACGCCACAAAATCACAAAAGGCCACACTAAGAGCATTAGTTAAGCTCACTTTTTAATCTGGCTTAAGCGCCTCTCTAGCCCAAAGCAGACGGTTACAAAATACAATTAATTTACGGGACAACAATCCAAATGATGCAATAAGACAAGAAGGGTTCTAATTATAACTGCGTTCGAAGTACAAGAACGAAACCACTAATTTCTGTTGAGTGTCCTTTGCAATTAATAAGAGAGATTTTTTGGGATTGCATTTGTGTCAACAACAACAACAACAACAAATTTTATTGAAAATTGGAAAATAACTAATTACATTACTTTCCCACCCGCAAATAGCTTATAAACTAATCGAGGCAGGGGGAGCTGAAGACATATTATAAAACAAGATTTATATATAGATGGACTAAATAACAGTGAAGACACTACTATACAGTAAATAGAATTTAAACTAACATAAAACAAGGCAAGTACATAACGATTGCGAAGAGAGGCTAACCTAAAGTATTAAATAACTTAATAAGACGGGAGACTTCAACATAATCATCTTCTGACCGCAAGAAATTTAGTAATAATTCCTTTATTTTTTTACGAAAGGACAAATGTTTAAGTATTTTAATCGAGTAAGGAATAGAGTTCCAAATTTGGGCACCGATTCTCGTGAAAAAGGCATACATTTTATTGGTTCTAGGGAACTTAACATAAAATGAGTCACTAGAGACAGATCTTGTTCTGTAGTTATGAATCTGACTTGTTTTAACGAACTGATTGAGTATACTGACTGGTGCTGTCTGTCTGTTGATATCATACAATAAATAGCTACAATCTCTAAAAAATAGGCTAGGCAGGAAAAGGCAATTTGATTTGAGAAAGAACGGTATGGCGTGTTCCTTAGACTTACTGAAGTAAATGAGACGTAAGGGCCATTTTTGTAGAGTTACGATCTTTCTTTGAAATGTCAAGGCACAATTTCCCCAACCACAAATACCATAAGTCAAGTAAGGGACAATTAATGAGTTGTAAACTGAAAGTAAAACACAGCACGGTACATAATGTCGAATCTTAGCCATAATTCCTATCGACTTGCTGATTTTGTGACAGATAGATTTGATGTGGTATTTCCGTGAAAGATTTAAATCAATCATTAAGCCAAGATATTTTACATAATCTTTCATTTCAAGGTTTGCGTAGGTGTTAGTCATGGAGTCAAGAATTCTAATCCTAGGTATGAAGGGCATATTCTTTTGCCGGGGATGAAAGATTACAAAATTTGATTTTTTTATGTTCAAAGACAGTTTGTTGGCCTTTAGCCATTCGTTGACATTGCCAAGCTCACGATTAACAAGTGTTTCAAGTTCCTTTAGGTTGTTATTTGCAAGTATTATACTTGTATAATCAGCAAATAGATAAAAGGCAAATAACGAAGAGGACTTGTAAATATCATTGACGTACAGTAGGAATAAGAGTGGTCGGAGGACTGAGCCTTGTGGCACGCCGCACAAGGTCGTCTCAGCCTCAGACACAACATTATTTACTTCCGTAGTTTACTTTCGATCAGTCAGGTATGATCTGAACCAGGAGTTGATTACACCTCTAATACCATAATTTTCAAGTTTCGCTAACAAAATCTCATGGTTAACGGTATCAAAAGCCTTCTTGAAATCGATGAAAACACCGCACGAAAATTTACCGGTGTCCATATTTTGGACACTTGTGTTAACAGTATCAAGTATAGCATGCTGAGTACTGTGCTTACTGCGAAAACCGTATTGCTGATCATAGAGAATGTTGGAATCTTTGACAAACTTGGTAACTCTGGAGTACATAAGTTTTTTAAAAATCCTGTTATAAATCGAGAGCAGAGAAATAGGTCGGTAGTTTTCGGGCAGAGTGTCATCTTCGTCCTTACATATCGGGATAATCTTAGCACACTTTAGTTTAGATGGAAAAATCCCCGAGCAAATAGACTGATTAAAGATCGTGGCTAGAGGTACGGATATGACCCTTTTTGCCAATTTCAGCAGCCTAACTGGAGATGAGTGGAGACCATGGGCCTTGTTGTCTTGCAAAATTGAAATTTCGAAATTGATATCTTCCGGAATAACAGGATCAAAGAAGAAAGTGCGATTAAGTGGTGGATCTAAATAAGCAAAGAATGTATTTATGGTCTGAGGAATTGTAGAAGCCAGTTTGCTCCCAACAATGGCGAAATATTTGTTAAGAATGTTGCTTATTTCCTTCGGGTCACTAGTTGGAACCTCATTCGGGTTTGAGCGAATAGAGTTAGTTGAGTTGCGCTTGTTTTCTTTTTACAGTTTCCAATTAGCTCATTAATTCCTTTCTCAAGTTTGACGCATATTACATATGTTGAGACCAAAAAAACTTTGGTAGTAGTTCGCTTTACTTAATCTCGTAAGATAGATGATTTTATTTCTGTAAAATTTGTATTTGTCCCGGTCTGAGGTATAGAAGAGGTTATTCTTTACCCTGATTGATTTTCTTAAACCCGCAGTCAGCCATGGTTTAGCAAGGAATTTTTGTTTAGGATTGGATATACTTCTTAAAGGGGCATGTTTGTTAATTGTCTTGTTGACGCATTTGTAAAACCTGGAGAACGATTGATTGGCATCGGTATGTTTGCAAATATTATTCCAATTAATATTCTGCAAGTCGTCAATGACAGATTTTGCATTGAAAGTAGAATAGTCACGCACCTTAGTTTTGTTGTTTGGAAAGATTGGTTTACAGTGCGACGTTAATATGCACATCTGAGAGAAGTGATCTGTTGTATTGGGCACGATATTGCCGCTGACTATATTATTCTCAGCATTATTTATGAAAATATTGTCAATTAAAGTTGCTGAATTACCATAGACTCTAGGCGGCTTATCAACCACTGGGAACATTGAAAAACTTTGCATTGTTTGCAGCAAGGTTTGTGTGTAACTACAAGTTTCATATTTTAACAGATCTATGTTGAAGTCTCTTATAAGATAAATATTTTGATTTTGACGGCATTGGCATTCAAGAAAATCTGTCAAGTATTCTAGAAACTCATTACGTACAGATTTCTTATTATTAGACAGATGAAGTTCAAGCCATAGGGCTTGACTTGGAGACTATATTCGCTATATTCTTGGAATTCATCGATGGCGATGGCAATGGCGTCCACCCTGGCCTTGACCTCTGAGAGTTGTGAACTTAGTCGTTGCAGCTCTTTGTTGGCAGCACACATTTGCCTCGCTTTGACGTGCTAGCATACATTGTGCCTCATTTTAATGCTCTAACTCACTTGGTGGTTGCTGTCTTCTTAAGCTTTTTTCATCTTTTTCTTGATTGTCTGCGTAAAGTGCTGTTCATGTGTTGTTTGATCATCTTCATATTAAAAGCGTTGTTCAACTTTTTCCTGATCGTTGATGCTGCGTTGGCAACAGGTTTTCTCACTCGGGAACTGGCATCTCTTTTGTGACACCCGTTCACAGATGAAATATTGGCGTTAATGAAATTTCTGTTTATTTCAGGTTTGTTTATTGTTTTTCACGCATTTATCGCAGTGTTCAATAAAGCTTTTTTTATAGGAAAAACTTCATTCTAAGATAATCTGTATACTGTATTTGTTTTTATGAGCTCAGATCGACTGGTAAGTTGTATTTAACTTAATTTTATTACATATTACACCTGGTTGCTTTTTTCACTGTTTACAGCGTTGTCTTCGGTTTTGCTTGTCACCATTTTTGAAAACTATACCAGAAGTTTAATTTTGAAACGTTGACCTTTTCATCTCACTAATCTGTCCGGGTGCATTGTATTTGGAAGACAGTGCTAAGTAAGTGATGAGTGAGTCATGTTAACCAGTAGAGTCAAACAACTAGGGTTTAAAGTGATACGTGACGCTTTCACATCTAGACTGTGACAGCAAGCTTCCATTTGAGGGATATCGTAAAAAGTACAAGCGTGAGGGGAGACGCGACAGTGTGCACAGCTCACTTGGGAAAGCTTGCTTGCAGGCTATTTGACATCTCAACCAATAAACTTTTCAGATGACTTTAAATTCTGTATCCCAATTCTGTAGCCAATTTTAGAGCATCCTACAGTGCAAAAGGATCATAGTCTGTGCTTGACCCATTGTTACTTACATGTATTTTACTTAGAGGTTTAGCCCACTGCTAAATAGCTAACAAACATATCGAACGTATTTTCCTAAGCTCCGATTACTCTCAGTATTTAGTATCACTTGGTAGTGTAATGATTTCATCAGTACTCCCCTATCAAATCGTCAAAATGGCAGCCTTTTATTACAAACCTCTTTGTACGGAAACTTTCCCACAGGTAAGCAGGGTAATCCTGGATTGTATTGCTCTTCCTCTAGACACGATTCAAAAGAGCAACATCTCTTACTTTTGACCTAGATGCTACAAATTAAAAGCAAGTGTACATTAAATTTGCCTGCAATGCAATGTTACCACAGTTCTCCTGTTGTTTCAGGGGAGCTTAAGCATAGGCGTTTTTTGTGCAACAGTGGGCCTTTTCACTTACCTATATGAGGATGCCTCGTCTTGCTTAATGGTAGAAATTACGGATTATATGTGGTCTCATGTAGGGCAGCTAGTATGGAAAGCAGATATTTATACCCAATAAGATATCGCTTCAGTTTGCGCGTCAGCCCCCCTTCCTGGGTTTCTGAATCATTCAGACCGGCTATTGGCCAGATTTTAATTTGGAAAGTTCTTTTTGTTATCAAAAATATATTCATTATGAAAAATCTGACCGATTTTGTAAAACTATTTCAGACATAAAATATACAACATGAAATAACATCCCCTTAGATCATTTCTTCCTCGATTGCAAGTTTCCAATTGTTTCCCTAATGATAATGACGTTTTGTCACCTTAGACTATGAAATGCCGATGCTTATCAGTAGCTCTGCCATCAAATGTTTCATTGCTATAGCCAATGCTTCTTTCTCGTCTTCCTCTTGGAAACATTTACAGCAAGTGTTCGACGTGTTCCACAATGCATGCAGTGATGGAACACCAGCTCCGACAACAATGCTCGTATACATTTTCTGGAGGGCAAATTTAACTTTTAGTGAGTTTTCTTTTTCGTCTTGTTTTTCCTGCCAGTCCTGGTAAATTCCATTACGTGATATATAATCCAGGGTGCAATGTGCTTTGCCCAAACCATCCCTCTGAAATTAAAATGATGCAAGCTATATCAAAAGACAACTCTGTTATTAAACAGCCACCTTGTGAAAAATCGATGAATCACCTGTTGATCGTCTATTGATCATTTAATTGCTATAACGATTGCTTCTTTCTCCTCTTCTTCCTGAAAACATTTCAACAAATGTAGTGGCATTTTACCCTCTTCTTTAACAACGCTTGCGTAGGTTTGCTTGACAGCTATTTCAACTATAGCCAAACTTCTTTTCTTATTCAGTCATTCCCAGACAATTTAAAAAGTGAGCTAATGTTGTTTGACATGATTCGCCCATATTCTATTTTGAGAAGCGTTTCACGGGAACAGACTGTCGAACTTAGGTTCCAGTTTGGACTAGGGGTCGAAAAGGACCAAGACTCAGAGGATAATAGAACAGAGAGAGAGTTGACTGGGATTTCTGAATATGTAATCACAGATAACACACCTTTTGCGATGGGTTCTTGGAGGGAAATATTGATGGCAGTTGGATTTGTTGAGGATTAAATAAGAAAGTTTATCTGGAGCCTAGATGGTGAAGTTTCTTAAAGGCTCTCCATACTGCAACAATAAATGTAAAAAGTGTCCTTAAAATTTGGAAAAATAATCTTTACACGATCATTTTTTTTTCTGCAAATAGGAAAATAAAGAGGTAAAATTTTTTGTAAAATGATAGTAGAGCTGTCTGTGGATGCCAATTAAGGAAAACTCGGGTCACTTTCCCTGTGAGCTCTGGGCCAATCAAAATTGCGTTGCTGGGCAAACCCAAGTTTTCACTGTCCACTCCTTGTCAATCAAAACCTGACACTGCCCAGGGCTGAAAATAACGGACAGCACGTCGCCAGTCATGATGACTGGCCAAATATTTTTTTAAGCTGGACAAACCCCGATTCTGGCCGGTCAAATAATGAATACTATACTTTTTTTTTGCCTAAGGAATATCGAATTACGCTGGCAATAGATCGTTTTTACTACATTGACATTCACATTTTTGACAGCAAGTTGGTGAAAAATGCATTCACACGTAGAGTTCTTTTCCATGGTTTTTGCATGTTTTAATGTCTGTTCTAGCGTGAGTATCATCGTACAGCGGTGTCGAAGTCTCTAAAGGTAAAGTGAAGCGCAAATCCTTTTCAAACTCTCAAGGTTCAGGAAATAGAATACAAATACAGTTCAACAAACTTAAGGAATTACGAAAAAATAATTTGGGTCATTAAAGAACAAAATCTGCACCAATCTGGCAAATTGGTTTTACGTCGATGTTCTGAAATGAACATCGGTGAAACTTGATCTTTTTCCTTGCCTGGCACGTGATCGAAAATCTCCTCCACAAAGAAGAATCATCGCTAATATTTTCGGCAAAGAAGTTGATTTGCATTTGTCTGTTCCAGAAACAGCGTGTATAATATCAAAAGTTAATAAATATATAGCTGAGCTTTCATTTGGGTCATCGTGCAACACTTTTAATATCGCGAAAGGGCTCAAATGTCAACAGAAATTTGCATAAAGTTGTTTAAAAGAAGGAGAATTAATAGACAATGAGCAGTCTCTCTTTTTTCTGGTCCGTCGAGCAAAACGCCCGAGACAAGCAAATGACCACGTGCATGACTGAAGGCGCGAGACAGGAGAGGCACGAAAAAAGAGAGACTAACCGCAAAGCCAGAGAGATGGTCTTTCACGGTCTCGTGATTTTTTGGCATGAAAACTGAAGGGTTGACGGGCCAGGCACGTGAAACGTGACCTTAGAGGTTGCTTGAACAACAGAGGTTTTCCTACATTTCTCTTTGTTAAAGCACAGCTTATGCAGTGCATAGAGTTAGAGTCAATTTTAAACAAATTGACCGAGCAAATCTTAATTTTGGCCGCTGGTGTCACATTTAGAGGTCATATATTAATAATTCATTTCTTGTGCT